TGTGTTGCATATCCTTCTTAAGCACATGTCTTCTACATCTCATGGACTTTCCCTGTGTTTTTGATAAAAGGCTCCCAAGAACTCTTCAGTGTCATTTTCTCTGTGAGCTCTGTGAAAGTCACTATCAGTCAATGAAGGGACCACAGAGGTCAAACAATTTAATGTCTCAATAAAGTGAGGGAGAGGATCAGTGACTTGTCCAAAGTCACATACCTAGGAAATATTAACTCCCAGACTCAAAGTCGATTTCCAGATTTCTAGTTCCATATTTCCCCCACTAGACCATGCTATGTGGACATTACTATTAAATTTTGAGGGGAAAATAAATCTTATGTAACGCTTTTAATACAATTTTTTTCATTACCTGACATGGTCAAAGAAGAAGAAACTTCAACTCTAGATACAGGATTTGAAGAGCTGAGTTGAAGGTGTTTGAGAGGATAAAGAGAAAGAAAATGTGTGTCCAGTATGAAGACCACTGGTTACTGGTCACTAGTCCCTTACGATGATCCAAGTAACCTATGGGAACCCCAAGATTCTTCCAAGTGGTGACTGGTTTGTTGAGAGAATGAGGTCACAAGGTAGACAGTTTAAAGGTCTGAAATAGCCAATCAGGAGGTCACAACCCTACAAAACAAATGGGATTGGATGGAGGGACCAGTAGTGGAGGGTAGAAAGAACCTCAATATCAGAGCTCTGGGAGAAGTAGTATTTTTAATTTCCCACAACTCTCATAAAACTTTCTTATCTGCGTTTATTTTCCTTCTTGATTATATTACTCTTTGAGTTTCAAATTATAGTGGCTTTTCATTTATTCATACATATTTGTTTTATAATACTGATGACAATTAATGAATGTAATTAAATATGTATTAGTAACTTCTTTTCATTCTCCTTCCCTTCAGCCAAATGAGTAACTTTATACTATCATTGCTTTTACTTCTCCCTCCCTACCTCACTTCATAGCCATTGTAACCATCTGAGAGGGATTCTGTGTAAATGTTTCCTAGGATATTTATAACAGAGATCCTATACCACAAATGGCCTTTAGACACGGCTTAGTTTGCTCAGAATCACTTCCTCTCGGTTCATCCATGTTATTATGCAGTGGTTTGCAAAGTGCTTATCTTTCTTTAGTATTTTGTAATACTCCAATATATCAATGTACTATTGCTTCATTCTCTTTGGTATTGTATATAATGCTACAGTAAACACCAGCATACATGTATCAGTTCATGTCACCACTCTTATTTCCTTAGGATATATAGAATAGACTTTCTTTGATATAATTTACTAATAGCTAATAAATATGTCAAGAGATAGAGTTCACAGATATACCTTTTTAGACTATTGCAAAACATACCTTCTCCTTAATGAGGATGGAGACTTGTAGGTGGCACAAATACACTTGTTCTGAAAGCACACTAATTGCTCAGAATAGTACCTGGACAGCAGGGCTTATAGGGCCAAAGGGAAAAGTCATAGAGTTCTTTTTGTGGCTTAACTCAAGAGTAGGGTGACGTGGACTGACTACATCCTGTGGGGAGTGAGAATGTCCCAGATGCAGTATGTCTTTAATTTCTTCTCCTTGAATCCTTCCATCTTTTGCCAGAATGGTCTAGGCCAGGTTGGACTCTTCATCTCTCGTCCCTTCTCGCTCTCTCCCTCTCCTTTCCCCTTCATTCTAGGCATTGAGTCTGGAGCAAGCCTTACTCTTATATCCATGGAAGCTACTTCCTCCCAGTTTCCGGAAGCTGGGATCTTCTCAGCACCATGATGCTAAGAGTGATCTAACTCCATGAGAAGAAAACACCAAAGTCTGGAAGATACTCCTGACTTCCCATCTTCTCAATTCTCAGTTGTAGTGACTTTTTTTTTCTCCCCAAATTTTATACCTGTGCCTGATGAAGCAATGCAAGCATTTTAGTATTCCACTCTTTATACTTGGGATATCTAGGACACTGTCCCACTTCCTCCCGACACAAATGTATCCAGTATCCAAGTTACCCCAACGTCCTGCCTCTTGCAAACAGCCACCCTGCAATCTTCGGCCTCTGGGATTCTCTGTGCCTGCTTGGGTCAAGGTCAGGAACAATGACTAGGAGGATATTTAGACCAAGAAGAGGACTTTGGTGGACAATGGAGAATGGATGTCAGGAAAAGACACAGGAAAAAAGAAATTCAAGTGAATGTGTTTCTGCAAGAAATAAATTGATAATCTTCAGTCTCATTTTGTAAATATTATTTAAACTGTATTAGCTTAGAAAAGTATATTGGTTTTTTTAACCTGTAGGTACTTATTCCAGAAGTTACCATGAATTCCATACACTAAAAACCATAATCTTAAAAAATTGTCCTCACAACTTTCATATTACCTCACTTATATAATTGATGTCTGTTTGCATAGATCGATGTGAACACTCTGGTTTTATCTCTGTATAAGTCTAGAAAAGCGTTAGATCTTTTGTTCATGGAGTCGCTATGAGTCGCATTGGACTCACAGCAATCAACAACAACAACAATATATCTACATGATGTTTTTATTGTCAACTTATTATCAAAGTTCCAACAACATAAAACATGTTGGTATTTATCTCTTTTCTTTTTTTCTATTATGAATGAAAGTTTACAAAGAAATTGGTATTCCATTCACTTTCTAGTAACATAATGAGTAAAGAACGATACTGCCACTCCAGAGGCATGAGGTTCAAATCCACCAGCTGCTCCACAGAAGGTGCATTTTTACAGCCCCTGAAAACCCCACTGGAGTGTCAGGTATGAGGCTGATATGGTACAGAATTCATATATATATTTCCCTCCACTTTATGTAATGCATGTCCTCTTTCAGATTGTTAATTGCACACAATGTCTGAGGGTCTCTTCATTTCCCATCACCTTCCTTTCACCTATTCCAATAATGTCTTCATTATCTATGTTCTTTTTCTGCTCTCCCTGTCACACCCTCCTCAACCCTCTAGCTTTTAGAATAATAGTCTTAGTTTTTGTCCTTTTGTGACTAAGTTATTTGACTGAGCGTCAAGTCCTTTAGACTCAACCATATTGTGTATTGTTTCACAAGCTCTTCATTGTTCTTCAGTACTGCTTAATTCTTCATTATGTGAATATACCATAGTTTATCTAGTCATTTACCTGTTAACTGGCCCTTTAATTGCTTCCAACTCTTTGCTATTGCAAAAAATTCTTTAAGGAATGTGGTTGTGCACACATCTGTTTGTGTGACAGCTCTGATTTCTTTAGGTAGATTCCCAGTAGTGGAGAGCTGCATCAAATAGTATTTCTATTTTTAACCTTCTGAGGAAGTGCCAGACTGCCTTCCCTAGTGTGGTACTATTTACAATCCCACCAGCAGTGCATGAGGCCTTTGACCTCTGCATCCTTGTCACCATTTGTTGTTTGCTGCCATGTTGAACTTTCCCATGGCTGGAGGAACAAGTTGGTAGCTCACTGCTGTTGTGATCTGCACTTCTTTAATAGCTAGTGATGTTGAGCATCTCCTCATGTTGGTTGACCAACTGAATATCCTCTTTGATGAAATGTCTTTTCAAACTTTCTGCACGTTTTCTATCTTTTTTGTTGTTGTTTTTTTTTTTCCCTTCCCTGTTTAGGTGCTGAAGTATTCTATAAATTTTAGATAGGAATCCCTTATCAGCTATCTCATTACCAAATATTTTTTCCCAGTCTGTAGGACTCCTTTTCACCCTATTGGAGAAGTTTTTTGATCCATATAGGATTGGATATTTTAGAATCTTCCATTCATGTATTTATCTTCTCCTTCCTTTCTATTTCTTGGTTATGTTTCAATGGCTGTTCAAAACATAGATTAAGGATTCTAATAATCTGTTTTTTTGTCTGTTTGTTTGTTTTACCCCAAGGTCTCTGATTCACTTTGAGTTGGTTTTTCTCTATGATTTGAGATGTGGATCTTGTTTCTGTTTTCTGCAGACAAATGTCTAGCTTGGCTAGCACGATTTGTTAAAAAGGCTGTCATTTCTTCACTTAAAGTATTTTATCTTGTTGTCAAAGATCAGTGAGCCATAGACTGATGAGTTGACTTCTGGGTTCTCAACTCTATGCCATAGGTCTGTTTCTGTCACAGTACTGGCATCATGCCATGTTGAGGTCAAGGAGTATAATACTTCCTGCTTTTTATTTCCCTTTCCAATTGTTGTTGTTATGTGCCGTGTAGCCACTTGTGACTCATAGTGACCCTATGCACAACAGCTCTGAATCCTGCCCTATCCTTAGTCAAACTTATCATCTCAGACACACCTACTCTCATTATCCCAGTCACTGAGTCAATCCATCTCATCGAGGGTCTTCCTCTCTTGCACTGTCCCTCCACCCTCCCAAGCATGACATCCCTCTCCAAGGAGTGGTCCCTCCTTGCAACATGTCTAAAGTATGTCAGACGAAGTTTCAGAATCCTTGCCACCAAGGAGCAGCTTGGTTTAACCCTCTCTAGGGTGAACCTCTTTGTTCTCTTAGCAATCCATGGTATATTCAGTACTCTTTTTCCAGCACCACAGCTCAAAGACATTGGTTCTTCTATCATCCCTAGTCATTGTCCAGCTTTCTGATGCAAAGTAAGTAATCTGGAGTCTCTTTCCTTTCCAAATAAAGTTGTAAATTACCTTTCCTGTGCCCTTGAAGAATGGATCAGTATCAGTTTGGGGACTGCATTGAAGCAGTAGATTGATTTTGGTAGGTATGTCATTTTCACAAATTGTGTCTTCTTATCCATGAACATGGTATTATCTTCCATTTATGTACATCTTTTATAGTTACTTGTGGTAGTATTTTATCATTTTCTTTATGTAGGACCTTTTGAGTCTCTAATTACTTTTATTCCTAAGTGTTACCAGAAGATATGTTACCTGAGATCTGGCTCACATCTTGGGGTTTAGGTCACCACTCAGTAGAACAGAAAGTCTGACCTGGTTGGGCACCCCAACTCCAGTCTTTTGCTGGAGTGGCAGTACATGGCCATGGCCAACGGCTTGATTTCTGTTGTCTATAGATATTTTTTTTTATATTTGTCTTCATGTTTATTTTATAGTTTGTTATTACAGGTACAATGTTTATTTGCCATTTTCCTGCACTGGGCTGACTTGTATGTTGCTGTAGTGCTGAAAGCTGTGCCACTAATATTTCAAATAACGGAGGGTCCAACCTTGGTGGACAGGTTTCAGCTGACTTTCCAGACTCAGGCAGACTAAGAAATAAGACTTAGTGTCCTCTTTGGAGACAACAGGTTAAGACAGCAGGGTATTCTAAGGAATACCCTGTTGATTATAGATGTGCATACTGAAAATACTATCAGAAGTGTAGCTCCTCATATTAGAAGCCTCTTTAAAAAAGTGAAGAGAAAACGAAAAGAAAAACATGAAGCTCCAAAT